CCAGATTATATTTGCAACGACCGCTTAGTCCTTTTTATAAGGCATAGTTGGGCGTGATCAAATTTTGGTGCCGTTGTCGGGGAACTAACGGTGTAGCTGTAGGTTTACATATTTCTAGGTTGCAAGTTTGAACTTTTATTTTGTTTTCTTGTATTTGATTTTTTTTTTATAAACTTTGATTTTTAATTTGAGAACATGGCATTTTGGAATTATGAGAGTTTTGGTAATTCTACTTTTGATCCTCCTTATGCATATTGTGGAGGAAACCACCCATTGCAAAATTGTCAAAATATTTCCAAGAGCGAGTTTTGTGCACCAACTCAATCTTATGTGTGGAATGTGTGTGATATGTATGGTGGTCAAGATGTTCACTTTCATGGTTATGATTATTTGTCTTATCCTCCCCAACCCCTTACTATGATGGTTCTACTTTTTCTGGTGAAGTTAATAGGAACAAAGAACCCTGGGAAGCTGACCTGAAGGAGATCAAAGATATGTTAAACATGGAACTATATGATAAGATACCACTACAGATACAAATGCAAGAGGCAACTATTCACAACTTGGAGGCTCAAGCGAATAAATTAATTGAACCTTGTAAAGCGCAACAAGTTTACATTGTGGATAGTAGCCAAAAGCATGAATTGGCTGCAGAAATTGCCATTATAATGGAGGAGTTGAGAGTAGAATATGACCAAACCAATCAACTAGAATTTGAGGATGCCGATGTTGTAGAAGAGATACTAAAGTCAACCAAAGACATTGATGATATATATTTAGTTGACTCTAGTGTCATTAGTGTTAAGGATGTAAACAGTCCCAATATTCATGTAGTTGAGCGCATTGGTCCAAACTCCAAGCATTTTCTACATTGTGTTTGGATGATGATACAGAAATAGAGCCATCCGAGCCACTTGAGGAGTCAAGGAATAAGGAACAAGATGCCTACATTCTGGAAGTCTTCTTGCCAGAAAGTCGGGAATAGACATCTCATCTAAGGGCCAAGAAGTGCAGGATACTACATTATTTTATTGGGCCAGTCAGATTCGTTCTACCACCCCAGGAGCATGATCATATAGCAGAATCAAAACTTGGGGTCCAATTCATAAGTTCAAAGTGGAGGCAGAAAGTGATTCGCGTCGTGCCGCAACGTTAAATCAAGTGCTTGTTGGGAGGCAACCCAGTTTTACTGCTTTCTTTTATCTTTTATTTTTTTTAATTGTATTATTTTTGTAGTGTCGATTTTTTATTTTCTAGGAGCATGAAAAGCAAAGCTATTGGAAGGATGCAACAACAAACCAGATGGTTGGAACTAAGTGTGAGGTACCCGCACGAAGGACCAAGCCTAAGAGAAGTCTGAGTACCCCATGAGCTGCTAGTGCTTCGGCCTTTGTCCTACAGGGAGTTTCTTTTACCCTCTTATTAGTTATGGTGTGCATTAGGGACAATGCACAATTTTAAGTGGGGGGGTGAGGAGATTGTCTAGGTGACTTTCTATGCTATTTTAATTGTGTTAGCTTAATTAATTAATTTTTTTCTTTTTCTTGAGGGATTTAAGTCTAAAAAAAAGATTTTCTTTGTAGGTAGTGTAGTAATTTCCCCTTGGTTTTTCTTTGTGCCGCGGTTCTTTTTCAAGGGTTTTATTTGAACCGGGTGTAGTTAGTTTTATTTTTTAGGAGTAGGAGCCAGTGTAAGATGAATTGAATTGAAGCAATATTTCTTGACTTTGTTATGCCTTGAGAATAGTGAGTCATTTGGTTGTGACGCTTAGGCTCAGTTTTTGACTCTTGTATAAGTACCTTAAATCGTATAATCTTAACTTTGCTTAACTACTTTGACTAGAGTGTCTTGATGAAATCAATCCTGAGTGAGTTATGTGCCATGTGTGTGTGAGGTTTGTGTATTATTCTGTGCATTGCATTTGATGCCTAGAACTTGCCCCGTGTGTTTGCAAAGCGAAATAGTAGTTTTGTTCAGTCTTGGAAGTGATATAGGCATTTTTTTGTTGAGCCAGATATGTATATTTTACCCGCCTAATTGTTATGTATCGTAGTTAACCCCTTTGAGCCTGTAATCATGTTTCGTTGGCAACCACATTACAAGCCTTATTCATTTGTTTGAATTAACCATCTATTTGAACCATCTAACCTCTCATGAACACTTGAATTGTTATGAACTTTGTAAAGGTTAAAATGTAGGGTGGTTGGTTTGGATTTTGAGTGGAACTAATGAAATAAGGAGAAATGTGCACTTTTTTGAAAAAAATAAAAGCTACTTGAATTGAAAAAAGAAAGAAAAAAAATAGTTGTATTGTTTATTCCTTGATGGTGGTGGCTTTTGATGTAATTGTGCTTAAAGAAGTATGGGGTAATATATATTGATGTGAAGGTGGAGTTGTGGTTTGACATAAGTTTGGGGTTTGAATGTTAAAGTATATGTATTAAAGTGCTTAGGGAGGTGTAGTCACTCTTATATCCAAATGTATCCTACCCGGCCCGCAGCCTACATTACAACCAAATTAAAGTCCTACTTGATCCTAGACTGAATGAGCTCGATTAATAGAGTAGTACACTACGAGCAAGCCTATGGTGCATCTTTTGTAGCATATGAATGTTATTTATGAGAGTGAGTGAATTCTTTCTATCTCGAGTTCCAATTGTTCCTAAATGTTATTGTGCGTGGAACTACTCTCTTTTTATGAGGGCACTTGACTCATGAAGGAAAGGTAATGTCATTGACCTCCATGTTAGAGTAGATGAGTGAGCTGTGAATACTGCACAGTACTTGTGAGTCAAATCTTGAGGTGAGGATGTTACGCCTTTGTGCTTAGACTATTTTAAAAATTCTTGGTGTGATGAGTTAAAGGAATTGCTCAAAAAAGGATTGTGTCTATAATTGTGGTTTGATTGCTTGAGGACGAGCAAGAGTTTAAGTGTGGGGTGGTGATAAATGATGAAAAGTACATATTTTTGAGTATATTTATGTATTAATTCTTGTGTGAGTCGCGGGAGTTTACGTGGTTTTCAAAGTGAAATATACTCATTATGTGTTTCTTATGTGTAGGAAGAGTTTGGATGATAAATGATCAAAAGATGACAATTCCACACAAAAATAAGAGATGGAAAGATTTGGGAGCTCGTCCAATTTCGTGCGAGGCACGAAAATGGATGCGAAAAGGGAGTAAAATGAAAGCACAAACAGCAAAGCGAAGCGAAGGCACGGATCGCTTCGCGAACTGGGAAAATTGCAAAAGCTGAGTCCGCGTCCAAGTTCGCGCGCTGCACGAAAGTTGACGCGCCCTCCAGCTCTCCTATCCGAAGTTGGATTGAAAACTTCCGCCCCTCACCAACACTAGGTCATATAAATACATCCTAAAACACCACTTTGAAAGAAGAGAAGACTTTAGGGAGGCAAGAACACGCTAGGAGGAAGGAGGAGAGGATTTAACTCCACGTTTTTCCTCTTTCTTCCTCTATTTCTATTATTGGTTATGAATTCTAGTATTGTAGTTATGCATACTATTATGAATAGCTAATTTGTTATCTAGGGTTTTGATGGAACCTCTTGAAGGATGATTTTCCTGTTACGTTAATATAGATTTGTCGTAGCTTTTCTCTATTTGGTTGAAGAGCTCTCAATCGACTGTGCCTATTTAGTGTGTATTACTCGGGAGAGAGTGAATATTTAGGTAGTTATTGAACAATATCACTCCTAACGTATATGAGGGATCAATACGGAGGGTTTAAAGGTGGGACTAGGGATAACGAAACCTTGGTGCGACCCGAGTGAGCCGTACTTAATGCCAGTTAGCGTAATCCGGGAGAATATGTCTAGTAAATTGTGGTAGTTACTCGGGAGAGAATTATGACACTCAGAGCGCTCATGATCGGTAGAGAATACTTAGGCGAAATTATAGAAGACGTAGCGGGAAGGATTCCGACAATTGAAGAAATCATAACTCTAGACCTCCTTAATCGTTTCTCCAACCCGTAGTATCTTTAGTTGTTAATCTACTACTTTAATTATTTAGTTAATTAGATATAAGAATCTTAATATTTATAACTTAGGAATTGTTCGAGCTTATCTCCTTAGTGATAGTCAACAACTGTAGCTAAGCCTTAGTTCTCTATGGAATTCGACTCCGGACTTGTAAATCGGATTATATTTGTAACGACCGCTTAGTCCTTTTTGTAATAATGTTTTGTTGTGTGTTTTAACCAAAAAAAATGTTTTGTGTGCAAAATTGCAAATGTATCTCTAAGCGTTTATCTTCTGAGAAAAAGAGGGTTTAAGCATTTCATAACTAAACATGGTTCAGAATAAAATTTTACTCGTACGGTCGCACTGTATATTTATCAATCTAATAAAGACATAATATATATTTTTATCACTAAATTGTAATTAATTTAACTATAATAAATTAATATAGTTAGATGTAGACATAGGGTCGGAAGGGGAGTATTCACTAAAATTCCTACCCTTTTCAATACTCCTAACTAAAATATAGTACAATTGCTTAAAATGTTTTGCCTTTGTCGTACATTTCTCTCTCTTATTCACACTTTACGTTTTACTTCACCAATCTCCAAGCAAAGGTCACCATTTTTTCTTCCCTTTTTGTCCTTCTCTTTAGTACTCATTACATGTTAGGGTTCTTTTGGCAGCGTGTATAAGAATAGCGCGGAATATGATGTATTAATAATGCATGAATTAATAATGCATGAGTTAGTAATGCAATCATTAGTTATGCAGATATTATTTCTTATCTACTGTTTGGTGTGGTGTATTAAACATTATAATACATTGTATAATTTTAAGAAAAATAGTTGTTTACAAAAATGCCCTCCATATTCTCTAGCTTTAAGGGACTTTAAGGACAACTTTGTCTTCAACTATACTAATGCATACATTAACACCCTTGGTATTACTAATGTCATAGTTTTCTATGCATTACTTATACACATTTTAATATCAAGTATGATGTACACAAGTTGAAAAAATGTACCAAACAAGATATTAGTCATACAAAAAGCTAATGCTTGCATTATTTTTTCTAATACCCCGTACCAAGCGACCCCTTAAAATCTTTTCTTAATCCAAACCAGAAAGAATTTACACTTTAGTTGTTTACTTTTGCTGTACATTTATTTCAGTGCTTTTTTAAACCTGACTGGTTTTGTTTTCATCTGAATACAGATTTTCTAATCCAATTAGTAATGCAATTAAATATTTCTCTAGCTATAATTTTAAAGGTTCCTCTTTATGGAATTGATTGAGTAAAAAGGAAGGTATTACTTAGATTCTTCTCTTTCTCTTTCTGTCATTCATTTCAAGCTGGGGTTTTTCAAGATTGTTCTTCTAGTTTCTGGGGTTCAATGATTTGGCTTTTTATGATATGATTTTTGCCTGTGTTTATCCATGGAACTCCTTTTCTCCAAATGGGTCTCTGCTTTTCTACTCTGCTGTTGGCTCAGTTTCTTTATTGGGCATTCAGGTTTGGTCCTCTCCTCTTTTCTTGATTTTTGTTTTTTCAAGATTCTGAAATAATGTATTTTGTGCCACTAAAAAATGTGTTTTTTTTCCTTCTTTATTTTGTTTTTGTAATTGTAGTGGTGGGGTTAAATGGAAATTCAAGAGTAAGAGCAGTGAATTTAGGTGGATGGTTGGTTATAGAAGGATGGATAAAGCCTTCACTTTTTGATGATATACCTAATGGAGATATGCTTGTATGTTTTTTTTATGCTTCAGAATCTTGTTACACCCTTATTTAGATTGAAAAGTTTAAAAATAATTTCTACTTGATTGAAATTTGGCAATGTAGGATGGAACACAGGTCCAATTCAAATCTGTGACTATGCAAAAGTATGTTTCTGCACAAAATGGTGGAGGCTTGAATGTTACTGTGGATAGAGATGATCCTTTAGAATGGGAAACATTCAAGGTGAAATGCATTGTCAAATTGCTCATTGTATTCCTTATTGTTGATATTAACCTTTTTATTTCCTGAATTTATGGTTAGCTGAAGTTATTCTCTGTAGTCTGTTCCATATATTTGACCTTCTACATGATTTTGTTTCTATTTCAGTTAGATTCCCAATTGGTCTTAACATTATAATGAAGAACAGTTGAAAATATGTTTTGAATGTTAGCACTTCTACTGTAGGTCCTATGCTTTTTTAGGAGTGGTTAGGGGTGGCAATTTGAGCCCAAGCCCATTTGACCCGCTCAACCCGCCCAAGGTTGGCTGGTCATTGACCCACCCATTTGTTGAACTCGGCTCATTTTAACCTAACCCATTTCAGCCCATCTAAAGTTGGGCTGATTTTTAGCCCAAATTGATCCATGAGTAACTTAAAAATAGATTAAAAATAATTTTTTTGTTTGATATGTTATATATGATCATAGCAAAAGAAAAAAAGTCTTATTTGATAATTAAACAATTCAAAAGAAAACTATAATTTTGTTTAAAGTATGGTAAGAGTTGGGCGGGTTGGGCTATGACCCAAATTTTAGCCCAACTTGATTCGGCACATCTCAGCCCAAGTTACTGACCCTCCCATTTGTTGACTCAGCTCATTTTGACCCGTCCAAAGTCAGCCCAACCCGCCCATTTGACGCCCTTAGGAGTGGTTAACCTTAATTCATGCCTTTTAGAAAATGTACAAACTCCTAATACGTTTTGCTTATATTTGCATAAATTTGGCATGAAATGATTTAAATGGAGCAACGTGGTCAGTGAGGATTCATATAACTGACGCCAACTTGTTTGAGATTGGGGCGTAGTAGTTGTTGTTGTTGTAATGGAGGGGATGTACTTGCAAGAAGTGAAATTTTAGTTAATTTCAGTTGGAACTCCATATTTCAATTTTAAAGATTGAACTGATAATTCTTATATACCTTATATACCTGTTTCAAAGTTGTCTTAACTTCTTCACATAAAAATTCTACTCTAGTATTTGTGCATTTATTTTATATTTTCAGTTATATTGTGGAAAATTAAACCATGATTCCTTTTAAATCAATGAAGTTGCTAATCAAGTTTATTCTGACATCAAATAGGCTTTCAGCTAGAAATTGCTGATTCCGAGAACAGTACCTGATTAATTTGCTCTTTCTTAGCAGTTGTGGAGAGTTTCTGAGTCAGTGTTTCAGTTTCGAACTACTGAAGGGCAATTTCTGACATGCAGCGGCGATGGTAGTATTGTGACTGCAACAGCGGAGTCTCCCTCTGATTCAGAAACATTCTATCTTGAAAGGAACTTCAACAATAGAGTTCACATCAAACTTAAAGGTGGAACTTATATACAGGTAATTTCTCGTTTGTTTTACTTTTGCATTTGACGAAAGCTCTTGTTGCAACTACAGAGTCCATCTGATAATGCATCTTCTTGTTTCTTTATTCTTTGTGTGTCTGTCGTGGAATCTATCAGTATTTGATTTAATACAATTCTATCCATTTTTTTGTCGTTTAAGTGCCTAATAACATTTACTTTATGCATTTGTGGGATAAAATAGACTTTGTTTAGAAAATTTCCTAGCAGTGGATGTGTAATCCTATCGATGGTCAAAAATTTGTGATCTTGGCCTTTTGAGTTTTTTTAAAGCTAGTATATGTTGTCGTGCACTAGCTTTAGCATTTAGCTGCTAAGCTGACATTCATGTCTATCAGAAGTTATACTAGAACTGCTGTATTATCTCTCAGGAACAGTGTAATAGTGTTCTAACTTGTTCATTTAGGCCTCAAATGACAATATTCTCACAGCAGACTTTCCGGGGACACCAGGTTGGGATGATAATGCAGCCACATTTGAGATGATGGTTGTGGGAAAGATGCAAGGTGACTACCAGCTCGCTAATGGATATGGTCATGACAAAGCAAAAGAGATTCTTAAGGTAAATTCACATGTTAATGCTTTTAATTCAGTTATTTATTGGAGGTAAGTGAGTAAATTCACATGTTAATGCTTTTAATTCAGTTATTTATTGGAGGTAAGTGAGACACTCTGCTGCTCGGACTCTCCGAAAATGACGTCGGGTGCGTGTCGGATCCTCCAAAAGTACTTTTGGAGGATCCGACACGGGTGCGGCATCATTTTGTAGAGTCCGTGCAACACAGACTGAGACACCATGATTCTTGTGAACTCACATACCAGGGCTGATTGCAATAAGACCAACTAACCAGCCGGCATATTCTGCTCATTCTGTAGTTGTGCCTTCACTTTTTCCGCGTTTGTCCTTTATTGGTCAACCTTTCCTGCAGGACGGGCTTGTTTACTGATAATCTGATTTAAGATAAATGAATCTTTAACCTATTTCAAGCTCATTGTGTTTCTCGTCTTTTTTGTATGTTGCAGAAGCATAGGAATAGTTTTATCACTGTAGATGACTTCGATTTCTTGTACAGACACGGAATAAACGCTGTAAGGATTCCTGTTGGCTGGTGGATAGCTTCTGATTCAAATCCTCCAGCTCCTTTTATTGGTGGAAGTTTAGAAGCTCTTGATAATGCATTCTCGTGGGCACAGTAGGTCTTGATTTCTACTATTGCTTTCTAGTCTTTGACATTTTTCATCTTTCCTTCTTTCAGCCATTTAATTTCCTTTTTTTTCCTGCAGAGCTTATGGCATAAAGTGCATAATCGACCTTCATGCGGCCCCAGGTTCCCAAAATGGGATGGAACATAGCGCCAGTAGAGATGGCACAGTAAACTGGCAAACATCTCCAGAATACATATCACAAACATTGGATGTTATAGAATTTCTAGCTTCCAGGTAAATTTTTTAACAAATTCTTTACAAATCAATCAACCGTCACTACTAGAAATTCGGCAAAAACCGACCAACTTTGGTCGGTAAAAAAACCGGCCAAAAACCGACCAAAGTTGGTCGGTTTTTCAAAATATTTTAATTTTTAATTTTTTTTTTTTTTACGAAACCGACCAACTTTGGTCGATTTTCTTTGGCGCAAAAATGCGGGAAACTATTTTTGAGTCCCGCGAAATTTATTTTTCAAGAAACCGACCAACTTTGGTCGGTTTTTGCAATTAAAATAAATAAAAATTAATATTAAAAAAACCGACCAACTTTGGTCAGTAAATTCGGGCGGTCATTTTAAAAAACCGACCAACTTTGGTCGGTAATTTTATTTTTTAATAAAACCGACCAACTTTGGTCGGTTATTTTCGTGCGAAAATACTATTAAAGAGTATAAATAAAAAAAAAAAGACAATCTTAAAACAAAATGCACCAATGGTCTAGTGGTAGAATAGTACCCTGCCACAATACACACCCCGGTTCGATTCCCAGACGGTGAATCTTTTGATTACATAATTAAAAAACCGACCAACTTTGGTCGGTTTTTTTTTGCAATATCTTCTTTTTTTGAATTTAATTTACCGACCAATGTTGGTCGGTAATTTCCGACCAACTTTGGTCGGTATACTAAAGCGACCACCAAAATACCGTCCAAGCGTATGTGGTCGCATTTTGGTCGGTAATTGGCCATAACCGACCAAAGTTGGTCGGTTTTTTTGGTCGCTAATTACCGGATTTCTAGTAGTGCGTTCATTGCAATTTGTTCAATCATTGCCGATGCTTGAATTTTCAGATTTAACATGGTGTCCTTTGGCCATGTAAAAGCAGTTTACCAGTCTGATATACTTTCTCTCTCAATATTCTCCTTAAATTTATTTGTGTTTGATGGTTCACATCTCTGCCGTTTTCTGATATATCAAATATATAAATGAGTATAACTCTTGAGCATTTACAGGTATGCCGTACATCCTGCCTTGCTTGGAATCGAGCTTTTAAATGAGCCATCGGCTGCAGATGTCCCACTGGATGTTCTGGTTCCATTTTATAAGCAGGGGTACAAGATTGTTCGAAAATATTCGACAACAGCTTATGTGATATTTTGCCAAAGAATTGGCAGCGCAGATCCATTTGAACTTTATCAGGCTAACATAGGCTCATCAAACACAGTAGTTGATTTGCACTACTACAATCTATTTGACAGATACTTTGATAAACTAACCTCTTTGGAGAATGTTCAATTTATATACAAGAGTAGACAATCCCAAATACAGGCTTTGAACAGCGCAAACGGGCCACTGGTGTTTGTTGGTAATACTCTCTTCCCTTTGCATTTATTTGATGTTATATTCCAAGAACCTAACCATATTATGAAGCATCTGAAAACTACTTATTGCTGAATTAGGACAAATTTTCAAATTCAACATTTTGGAATTGTGACATTTGACATGAATTTAACTGATCGCAGGTGAGTGGGTGAACGAATGGAATGTAACTAACGGTTCCTTAGCAGATTACCAGGATTTTGGAAGAGTTCAGTTAGACGTATATAATGCAGCCTCGTTTGGATGGTCTTATTGGACACTGAAGTGTGAAAAAAAGCACTGGGATTTCGAGTGGAGTGTTCGGAACAATTATCTTCAACTACAACCAGGTATAGAACTAAGCTTACATGCCTCAGCCTAATAAAAAACATCAACTTCTGAATGCTTAAGGAAGCACAACTAGAATTTCAAGAATAGTTTTCTGCTTATTTTGAAGGCGAGCCTTGGCGTAACTGGTAAAGTTGCTGCCATATGACCAGTTGGTCACGGGTTCAAGCCGTGGAAACAGTCTCTTGCATAAATGCAGGGTAAGGTTGCGTACAATAGACCCTTGTGCTCCGGCCCTTCCCCGGACCCCGCACATAGCGAGAGCTTAGTGCATCAGGCTGCCGTTTGTTTTCTGCTTATTCTATTTATAATTTTGCTAGTTCATGTTTGTAGTTAGATAATTTAGTGCCTATATCGTCATAATTTCACCGGTTTTACTTTTTCGTGAAGGTGTGTATGTAGGTAATTCACCACGGAAGAGGATATCTAGAGTTATACTATTGCTTGGGGTGGCATGCATTTGGATATAAGCATTAGAAATTGATACACGAGCCAAAGAAACCTTTTGATTTCCGGCATGAATGATGGGATTGGAAAACAACTTCTTTGTGTACTGTAGTCTGCCTTCAGCGCCAAATATTTTGCAGATATGGAGGTAAGCACGCACACATAACACGTTATGATATTGTAAAACTCGATGAGAATCTTCATTCATTTGCAAAATGAGAAAAGATATTGCAAATTCTTTCACTATTCATGTGTTACTCGTATATGACTTAACATCTACAGCCATCTACAGACATAAAGTTCTGAATTCAAAACTCACAACGTCTAAGTTCTGAATGTGTCACTGTTCCCAAGTGAAAATAACCTCAAAATGTAATACTTCTTCAATTCTTGTGCAAGCAATTACGTTTTTAATGGTAGATATGAGAACCGTAGAACAAGTAACAGCGCAATGAAGCAAAATTTCTGTAGAAAAGGGGCTTTCTCGGTCCGAATCGGGTTAACGATCAGTGTTTGCATTAGAAGTCCTCTAATGAACCGAAAAAAAAAATTATCTCAACCGTGAAACTTTATAATATAGCAAGAGGAGTGAAAGATGTGAAACAACAAACAGGTCCATTTCACAATGTGAACATTGAGAAGTGTCATGACCCAGGCTCATGGCACGTGTTGTCCGCTTTGGACCTATGTCCGCACGGATTTGTCTTTTTTGGGCTACGACACCTCAAGTTCCAAAAGCGCATGTACCATGTGAACTTGTGACACGCCTTATATAGCTCTTTACTTTTCGCTCCCATCGTCTAGACTCAGTTGACCACTGTGGTTTGCCTCACCCTCGTATTGAGAGAGATTTGGCTCTGGACCATACGTAACAGCCCACCTCACCACACGACTTTAAAACTCATCATTAAGATCTAAGACTTGTTTAATTATATTCCCAACATCTCTCCCGTGTTTTGTCGATGTGGAATTCACCTAGAGTGTCACATATACCCTCCTTAGGGACTCAGCGTCCTTGCTGAGGTTTGCCTACCATCGTTCAAGGTTGCACGCATAGTGGCTCTGATACCATAGGTAACAGTCCAGCCCACCAGTAATATTGTCCGCTTTGGACCTAGGCCTGCATGGCTTTAGAATGCGTGTTAGGGTCTAAGACTTGTTTACTTATATACGCAACCTCTCTCCCGTGTTTTGTCGATATGGGATTTACCAGAGTGTCGTAAGAAGCCTTTGAGTGACCAAAGCGGCGCAGTTTCCATGTAATATTAATACTAATGTTATATAAACTGATAGAAATAATTTTTAGATTATTAATGTATTTTAACCTATTGTATCAGATTATCTGCCTTATTTTCCAGGTTGACAATCTCACTGTAGTTTATTCGGCGTAAAATTACATGTACTTATCTTTTAGATTACCTTATTGTATAAAATATTCTTGCATTATCAATTCAATATATAGAAGTTAAATTCTTATGGAAAAAAGTAAACAAGTACTATGGTTGCATTGATCTCCACGCAACAATCGTCTTTATTATTCAAGGTCATCGACTAAAAGAACTTTTTCTTGAATAACTCTGTTACCATAAGTAATAGTTATCTTTATTCTAAATGTGCATTTAACAGATAACACATGAAGCTGAAGAAGTAGCAAAAAGTTTAACTTTTCATAGGATAATTTAAAAAAGAGAGACTAACTTCATTTATAAAAACAATATATAATCTAAAACATTTTACAAATACAGCTATGCAATATCTTCTTTCCTTTCCCTTTTCCTTTCTTTTCTGGCTTTAGTTTTATTCGTCCAAATACTAATTTTCTATTCGTCCAAAGATAGATGTCAATTTCTCTGTCAATGGTAGTACTAGTTTACAAGATCTCAACGAATAATAAATAGAAAAAGATAGTTGTTATATCTAAAGAATAGTAATTCAGAAAGTATAAAAGACTAAAAGGACGGGAAACAAAAAATTGTTAAACAATGAAAAAGGAGATAATTATTGACGATACTGATTGATATGAGCATATGCGTCCCTCTTCCTATATGACAAATCTAGCTTTCTTACTCTCGTCTTTTTTTTTTTTTTTTTTTGGTTGTCTTTTTTCCCTTCATTTTAACGACACAAGGAATAAAAACAGCTCATGGAAAAAAATTCCAAATCAGAGAGCACTATCCGAATATTATATCACATTTTTCACTCCTTTCTTTTCCCTTAAAAGAGGAAACCTTGAAGCAACGATAAGTTGTTTCTGTGACTATAGGTCACGCGTTCGATATGTGAAACCAGGGCGACTCTAATATTATAGATAATAAGGCATGTGCATAGGCCCCTAAATTTGAGGGGCCTATATTTTAGAAATAACAGGTTCACAAGTATTTTAAAAAAATAATATTTAATACTTTTAATACAAAAGTAAATTATCTCATATAAAAGGTAAATTTTTTTTTTTTAGATAAATTAAAAATTTAGGCCTCACATTAAACTTTGGCTTTAGGCCACACATTTACTTAAGCCGCCCCTGTGTAGAACCAATCACCGATCCTTGTATTCGGGTAGGCTGCCCACATCACAATCCCTTGGAATAATGATAAAGTTGTTACCCTGACTATAGGTCACGAGATCGAGCCACGCAATCAACCACTGCCCCTTGCATTATAGTAGGTTACTACGTCACAATCCCTTGGAGTGCTGCTATTTTCAGGATCCTGCGTGAACGTGGGAAGCTTCGTGTACTGGCTGCACTTTCTTTCCTTTCCCCTTCAAGAATTCGTTTCCAATGTATATTCAGCCATATGAACTGGAATTTTGTTCTTCATCTTGTTCTCAACATGGCTATATTCTTTTCTGATACTATAAATCTAAATCGTATATGATTTCTTCAGTTGCAATTACAAAACTTAGCTAGCAGCCTACCACTAATATATTTTGGTCCATAGACAAGAAAGGATCTGAGGATTTGGTAGTTAGTCATTTTTTTCAATGTAAAATATGTACTAATTGTGACTTAATTAGATTTTATTCTCTTTTGATACTAATCAGAAACTTAGAATTCGATAATGAAAGATCATACAACTTCGTACGCGTCCTATATGAAAAATATATGATCTCTTTGTAGATTCATTTGATGATAATCTTTTCTTGTTGCATGTGATTAATGCATCTCGACAGCTTGGGCAACAGCTAACAAGCTTTTCACTATGGGATCAACTTCAGTTTTTTGTTTCTTAATTCTTCTTTGTTGAAGATGTATATAATTAAGCAAATAAAAATTTGCTCTCTCTAACGGTTTAAACTTTTCGAAGGGTGCCAGACCAAATAAAAGTTAGTTATGGCCCATGAAAAATAATAAGACATATACACGAAGAGGAAGTGTTGAAGGTATATAGTAATAAAAATAAATTGCAGAAGTGTATCCTCTCTTGTAACTTAAACTTTCAGATGAGATAAGCACACACATTTCTAATACTTATTGAGATAATCGGAGTTTTATGCCCCGTCCACTGTAATCCTTTTTGTCGATTTTATATACGAGGTAGGGGTCTATGCGAAACCCCCCAATACCGTACCATAGGAGGTGAAAGCCCGAGTGGATGGAATTAATTAAGAAAAATGTTGAGATAATAGTAGATAGATTGCGTGGCACCTTACTTATAAAATGTGATTGTATAAAGGAGGAGAGGAGATTGAAAATGGACAAACCCAACTAATATAAATAGGCTTAGATATGGAAGATATATATTCGAAAATTATGAATAGAACTCTAAGAGTTGAGATATATATGAGATAAAAGGTTGTTGACTCACTTTGAGAAACATACAGATTGGGCAAAGAAAAATTAATCATAAAAGAAGATATAAAGTAAAGTAAACTAAAAAATGTACTCCCATTTATTCTATTTTTACAAATTTTCATCTTTGGTTTGCAACAAACACCCCATGACAAATATCCCAATAAGGGAAAAAGCCATGCAAGAAATTACACAGCTCCAAAAACATAGGGTGTTGCATGGCAAGTCCAAAGAAAACTCACAAAGTAGGAGGTTAAAAAATATTAAAAAAAACTATCAAGGTGCGCGAAAAAGCTGATCCAGACACCATCGTTAAAAAAATTACTTCAGCTCAGGCTACGACGAGCGAGAGCGAAGAAAGAAAATACTCAATTGTTGGCCCATACTTCCTTCAGGATCAATCAAATGGAATGACTCTGAATCACAAGATCCATGAACCCTCTCAAATTTTCCTCTAAGATACATCATATCTTCTTCACGATTAATTTCTTTGTTATTACCATGAACAGTGCCAGCTCCTACACTAACACTTTCCATTTGTTTCAACACTTGTAAATCAGATTTTGTAGGTTTTCTCTTCACTGCAAACCCTACTTTTTTCCCATTACAATACATAGTCCATATTGGCATAGATAAAAGAGAGGAAGAAGAATTTTCATGTATTCCATCATCATTGGAGCTCTCGAGCGCGATTCTAAGTATCCCTCCTCGCATTTCACGTGCCAGAGTAGAGGTAGAAACCGCGAGTTCAAGGAGAAGAAGCGGGGTAGAGGAATTAGGGTTTGTTTGTATACAGATATTGACTTTTCCTTTTCGATAACCGAAGATGGTGCCCGTAATATTGGATGTGTTTGAGGCAGAAGATGGCCTGTGGTAGTTGAAGGAGGAAACGGCGGGTTTTTTACTTTGGACGGGTTCTGTGGGTTCAACAAATGTACAGTAACAACTAGGGATGAGTAGCTCCACGAGAGAGCGGAGGAGCCGCCACGAACGGACTTGTTTCTCGCAGTCGACGGTGGTGATGGTGGCTGTTCCGGCCGCCGTAGGGTATGAGCTGATCATTCTTTGTGAATATTAGAATAATCGGAGGCTCAACGAGTTAGTTTGGAAAATGGTAGTAGTTTATATAGAAAAATTTGAAGGAATATTCTTATAAAGAAAGAATTTTTTTTAAGGAAAAAAAGGTATTAGTGAGTGATATTTTTTTTTTTCAAAAAAAAAAAGGGAAAACAGGAGGGGCCATGGAATCTAAGAAGTTGTAACGTGGCTAAATAATAATCTTACTTTAACTTTTTGGTCTAAGGGAAAAAGGTGGTGAGGGTTTGTAAACAGTTATTGTCTTGTTTTTGTCTAGCCTCGATCTAATCATGTATAGACTAACGTCCAAGACTAAATATTTTCAAAGCATATTCATATCTCATCCTCCCATAAGGTGAATAGTGTAGCCACCATCAATTGTTGTGGTCAATGAGCATGATCATTTAACCCGTAACTAGAGATTTTGGGTACAAGCCGAATAAAAAAATTTATTACGGAATGTTTCTCTTTTAATAGGCATTATATAGTACGAATCTGAATTAGTCGGAACTCTCAAATGGATCCGAATTTATCGAAATCCCAAGACGAATACCGAACACAAGTGTATAAAAAGAACTATTACCTTCAATATTACCTTTCCCAAACTTTTCCATCTTAATTAAAATTCTCTTTTTCGTTGGATCGCACTTCATATAGATGCCATTTTATTATTTAGGAAATAAAGAAATAGAGAATACCGTACAGCCATAAAAACCCAAACTTCTTAATGATTGAGTCTTTAAAATATTGTGTTGAAGAGAAAACCAATTTACAACTGTTCAACTACTCTTCTTCTACGTATTTATATTATTGGATGTAAATTATTTAACACATCAAAGTGAACTTTTTGTCGAATATATGGGTCCTGAGTTGGTTAACCACTTGCAAATAGAAACAAATACATTGTTGGTTTTATTTACTTTATCTTTTATGGACCGATTATTGGACAAAAGAAGAGTATGTTGAATGGGAAAGTAACAAATAAAAGAAAATTTTCATGTGTTGCTTTCTAGCCTGGCTTCTCCACTAATGTTTTTTTTTCTTTTTTACTTTTGTTTTTTGGTTCTAAGATCTCCACTTTCTTCATGAGAAGGTGACAAGAGAGAACGATTTGGCCTTAAAAACAAAACGAAAGTAGTAAAGATAGGTCTATATGGGTAAGTAGGAAATATATGGTGTTTTGATTTCATCATTTCTACCTATTGAGAGTACGATACAATCTAGATTGCCGTCGAGCACATTGGATTCTAATTGGAGGCTACTTTCGTAACGCGATGACCGCATGTGCAATTTGGCCAACAATTGAAGATTACATTATGTTTGATGGATATACTTGTAATACTTATCTTCCTAGTATAACTAGTCCTTAAGGTTCTCATTTTAGACTTCGCTTATTTTGGTATTGAGAATGAAAATTCATTGTGAGTGTAAAGCAGGTGAATTCCAATGTTGGTTGATTACTTACTAAGGTGAATTTGCAAGGGGATTTCTTCCCCTTGAGGGTTGTTCCTATAGTTTTTGATCAATTAAGTCTTAAATTAATTGGGTATTTGCTTATCTTCAATGGTCCTTTTAATTTCCTTAGTTGGTTCCCTACTAAATCTCCATCTTTTTATTATTTTTATTCGTATTCTTGCTATTTTGCTTCTGCGTTCGTATCGGAGTTAGTATCAAAATGAGAGAAGGGTTGCAAATTTTCTTGTGCACGTTTCCGACTCTTGTAATGTGTAATGAGATTCGAACTCAGAACCGATGTCTGTTTTAATACCATATTAAAGTATGTAATTATCTTATTTAAAAGTTAAAAGTACTAGAAAGAGCATACTTTTATTTACTTAGTTATGCCTTTGACCAAAGGAATGAGAGTGTCAATTGATTTGTGGTCCATTTAATATCCTTTGATACAATTTAACTCAAAAGTTTACAAGCTGTGTCTCTCTCTCTCCAACTAACTGATTCAAAATGTGAAGTTAGATTACATACGAACTGACCAACCCCGAGAAGGACATTGCTGTGTAGCCAATTTATTATAAAAATATTAACACATTTGGGTCACTCAAAAAATAATTTAGAGATAAATTGTTGATATACTAAGCATATATTGATAACTCAGAAAAGAGCGACAGCAAGCTATTAAAACTGATTAAATTATACGGTATTTGTTTCAATTTATAAGTGTTATTTTACCTTTAAAAAGTCTTTTTAAACAAGAATGTCTTTTTTCTATACTTAGTAAGTTTTAAATTTTAACATTCTCATTTTAACAAAAATGAAAGGGTAAAATTATTGCCATATGACCAGGAGGTCACGAGTTCAAGCTATGGAAACATCCTCTTGGAGAAATGCAGGATAAGACTGCGTACAATAGACCCTTGTGGTGCGATTCTTTCCCGAATCCCGCGCATAGCGGGAGTTTAATGCATCGAGCTGCCTTTTTTTAATTCTAACCTTAATAACGCTTATATGAATGATATGACATGTGTAAGAATTGGTATGCTATATCCATAATTTGTTTAACACCACAAGATTCAAAAGCTTTTATTATTCTTAAATTTTTTGTCAAGTCATACTAAGACACATAAATAAAATAAAACGAACACTCAGTGTATAAAAAATTTGTAGCATCATTAGTGATTAGAGCTTAAATACTTTCAAAGGTAACTTTGTTGTATGTTCAGGGATTGACCTAGCTTGTAATCTATCGGTTTCACTAAATATTTATAAATATTTAACTGTAAATCCTATAATTATTACTCCCTTTATTTCAATCCTATAAGTCCTCCCAGGGTAGGGATAAGGCTACATACATCCTACCCTCCTCAGACGTCACTTGTGGGATTATTCTAGGTGGTTGTTGTTGTTGTTGTTGTGAACATATTTGACTGGGCACGGCGTTTAATAAAAGACAGAATACTTTTAAACTTGCCGTGTAAAATGATGCACATATATTTTGTGTAGCTATAAATCATTGCATAAAGGTAAATTGTTTTCAAATAGAAAAAAAAAGGTCATTCTTTTTTGCACGAACTAAAAAAGAAATAAGTTCACATAAATTGAAACGGAGGGAGTATATATTAACTTAAAATTATTGAATATATAAACTAATAAACTTTAAATCCTACATACGCTTTTATATAAATTATATTAGAAATTCGTAAAATATCATCCAGAAAAAAAAAAAAAGAAGAAGAAGAAGACATAAAAGTAGTTAGTAGTGTGGAGAAATTATTTATAAATGATTAATGAATCAGCAATAAGCACGTCTTCCCACAAATAGTGGCAGAAATGCAGGGAGAAATTTGGAACCAGACAAAGGAGTGAACTGCAACTGTTTGCTGTAAGATATTTAAAAAAAGCTAAGACATTAGACTTAAATAAAAAGGTAGCACATGTGGTTAAAATTTTGGTTGGTTTCTTCTTTGATAATGTCGGAAGGGCAATTTGATCACCTGCTTTAATTTTGCTGATCGTACAGAGAATCAAAGGTTGAGAAACAGAACATGATGTGCCATCTCAATGTCTGCTCTTCTTCTAGCTTCATTCTTTCATAGCCACACATATTTTTCTTCGTTGATAATGTTATTTTCGAGCTTTTTCATTAAGAATGAATGGTAAAGATATCCAGAGAAAAAAAAAATTACTCGCACCTGAGGTAAACTCGCTAAATAACATCCAATTTGAACAAATATTTTGTCACGAGCCGGATTTCCCACCGTCGGGACTGTGATGGCGCGTAACTTTTCGGATGCTAGGCAAGCCAATGAATAAAGATTTAATACGCTAACCTTTGACCAAATCAGTAAATAACAGCAATTACATCAAAACAGATTAAAAAGTGCAGAATTTCATAATAACCCAAGTGCTTATACACAACTACCCAGAAACTGGTGTCACAATTCACGAACTTCTAAGAGTCACTACAAATACTGGCTGAAAGAAAGTACAACTGTCTTTGAATTAAAAGAAAACAGTAAACTGGAATAACTGGAAGGGGACTCCAGGGTCTGCGAAACACCGGCAGATCTACCTTGGGTCTCCTGTGGGTCTGAAAGCAGCAACTCAACTCGGGTAAACACGGTCCAGTACCGAAATCTACATAGAAAGTGCAGAGTGCAATATTAGTACAACCGACCCCATGTACTGGTAAATGCCGAGCCTAACCTCGGCGAAGTAGTGAAGAGACTAGGACAAGACACATTCATAAACCTGTGCAGTTAAACAATATGCTAACAGAAATAATAATAAATAGAAGCTAAGCAGATATTAACGGGAGGGGAAACATGCTAAGGGGGTACCAAAATAAAGAATCAAAACACTAGAGGAATTTAAACAGCTAATACACTCTGAACCGGTAATAATAAGTAAACACATCAAACAGAAAATGCACGGCATCACCCTTCGTGCTTTAACTCTCAACCTCACCAGATAATCAATTATAGAAACGTGCACGGCATCACCCTTCGTGCTTTACCACTTAACCTCACCATATGAATAACAAAAATATGCACGACATCACCTTTTGTGCTTTATTACTCTTCCTCACCACATAAATAATAGAAACGTGCACGGTATCACCCTTCGTGTTTTATCACTCTACCTCACCAAAACAGAGACAACAATAATAGAGAGATAGAAATGGCAACAACACGTCTTACTTCAACACATAGTTCCACAATACAAATCTCAACTTTGGGTAAAAACCCCATCAATACCAAATTCCATAAAACGTGATAAGGAAACTTCTCAACACATCGAATAACTAGTCTACATATGAACAATATGATCAAAAATACAATATTTCCAAGAATAAGACTCACTCACATGTTATGACTCGACAACACGTATAGATACTTGTCACTTTACCTATACGTTGTACTCAACATCCAAACACGTAGCAAATAATCAATAACACCTAATCCATCAAGCTAAGGTTAGCCACAACACTTACCTCGCTCTTTCGGCCAAACTCAAGGCTTAATTACCGCTTTGCCTCTAGTATCCACCTCCTAACCA